CCCCCCCCGGCTCTTGGGGTTCAGCAGGTCCCGCACACGCTCGCAGTAGATCTCCAGGTAGCTCACCTGGGGGGGGGCACAACACGGCCGGGGTTGGGGGTGAGAACCCCCGAAAGGTTGAGGGGAGGAACCCCCAGACTGGGGGTGAGCTGGAAGGTGAACCCCCAGACCGCTGGGGCAGGGGGACAGCCGAGCCCCCAAAACGTCAGGGTAGGGGGCAGATGAACCTCCAAACTGCTGGGGGGTGTGTGGGGGGAGTCTGCAAGGCAGGGGGGTTCAGGATGAACCTCCAAATTACCCAGGGGGCATCTGCAAGCCAGGGAGCCCCCCCCGCCAACCCCCAAAGCCCCCTCACCTCCACGGAGAAGGAGAGCTCAGGGGACCCCTCCTGAACCCCCAAAGCCCCCTCACCTCCACGGAGAAGGAGAGCTCGGGGGACCCCTCCCGTGCGACGCGGGTGAACAGATCCTCGCAGAGCTGTGGGTAAACGGTGCTGAGCCGGGGGGCACGGAGGGGTCCAGCACCCCCCAAAACCCCCCCGGGAACCCCCCGGATCCCCAGACCTGCGGGATGATGCCGCGCTGCCCGGGCTCCTGCCGCCCCATCATGGTGTAGGACTTGCCGGCGCCGGTCTGGCCGTAGGCCAGGATGCAAACGTTGTAGCCCTCGAAGGCGTGCGCCAGCATCTCCTCCCCGATGTCTTGGTACACCCGGCGCTGGGAGGCGAAGTTGGGGTCCTCCTCCTGCGGGAAGGAGGGGGGTGAGTTAGGGACGCCCCAAAACCCCCCCCCCGAGCCCCGTCACGCCCCTCCCGGCACTCACCGAGGTGTGGGACCAGTAGGAGTAGTCGAAGGTGAAATGTTTGGTGCCGTCTTTGGGGAGCTTGGGGTTGGTGATGCCTGGGGTCGGCAGGTGGAAGCAGGTTGGGGGGGACCGCCCCGACATCACCGTCACCCCCCCGTGTCCCCCTCGCCCCCCCCACGCCGCCGTCCCCCCCCCCCCAGAGCCCTCCCAGTTGCTATTTTTAGCCCGGCGGCAGCTGGTCCTCCGGGCCGGGGGCCAGCACGGGACAAGGACGGGGACCGGAGGGGGGTCCCCCCTGCCCCGGGGGGGGTGTCCCCCCCTCCCACCGGGGACCCCCTCCCACGCGACCCCCCCCACTCACACGTGGTGTTTCCTCGCATCTGGATGACGCACTTGGCCTGGCGGCTGCTCTCGCGGGCGCTGAAGGGCCGGACTCTGACGGCCACCTTCACCGAGGCGCCCGCCATGCCCCTCACGGCCTCACCCTGTCGCGACACGGGGACGTCACGCTGCCCCCCCAGAGCCCCCCCCCACGAGGTGTGGGGGACCCCCACCCACACCCACCCACCCACCGGTGACGTCCCGGCCGGACCCACGGGGGAGGAAGGGGGGGGGCCGGATCCGTGTCCCTCCCTCACTCCTGGCCAAGGAGAGCCCTAAAAATAACCCGGGGCGGTGCCAGGGGAGGGTGGTGGGGTGGGGGGGGAAAAGAGCCCCCCCAAACTCCTCCCCAGCCCCCCCGAAGGACAGGCAGCACCTCGGGAGGGTCAAAGGTCAGGGGTGGGGGCAAAGGTTGGGGCTGTGGGGAGGGAGGGAGGAAGAGGGGGATGAGGAGCCCCCCTGCCATCCCCCCCTGTCCCCAGGTGACCCCAGGTCAGGGTAAACAGCACGTGACAGCCCCCGCACGTCAGCGAGACACCCAAAAATGGGGGGCTCCCACCCCCCTCAGGCTGAAGCCTCCCCCATGGAGGTCAAAGGCTGTGACCCCACGACCCCGTGGGACCCCAGTGCCGGGATCAGCCCCCTATAGGTCCCCTAAACTGCCCCTACGCCCCTGAGATCCCGTCAAGCCTCCCTATAGCCCTCCTAAAAGTGCCCCTGCACCCCTGAGAGCCCCCCAAGCCCCCCTATAGCTCACCCAAACCTGCTCCTCAGGCCCCTGAGCAAACAGAAGTTCCCTGCTTGTCCCTGTAAAACAACAGCCCCTACACACCTATGACACCCCCTAAACCTGTCCCCCCGGGAGAACTGCAAACCACCCTAGAATCCCCTTAAATTTACCCCTGTGCCCTCGTGAGCCCCTTAGACCCACTTCCTACACCCGTGAGACCCCCCCCAGAACCCCCCTCTACCTGCTCCTATGCCCCTGGGACCCCCAGAACCCCCTTATGGCCCCCCTAAACCTGCCCTTACGCCCCTGGGACCCCCCAGAACCCCCTTATAGCCCCCCTAAACCTGCCCTTACACTCTTGGGACCCCCCAGAACTGCCCTATACACCCCCTAAACCTCTCCTTACGCCCCTGGGACCCTCCAGACCCCCTCTCCCAGAGAGCTGAGCGACCCTAAAGCTGCCCCCAGGCCCTGTCGGCCGCCGGCCCACCTGCCCAGCAGCGCCTCATGCCCCCGGGCCGGGCCCCCCGGTGCCGTCTCGGTCCCGCCCGGTCCCGCCCGGGGCTCGGCGGCGGCTCCGGCGCTGCGGCCGCGCCCGGGCCCGGGGGGGCGGGGCCTGGCGTGAGGGGCGGGGCGAGGGGCCACGCCCCCACTTAAAGGGGCAACGAAGGTAAAGGCTCTTAAAGGGGCAGCGTGGGGCAGGTGGGGCCACGGCCGGAGCGGATTTTCCCGCCTTTGGCCGTTCGGGATTTGTCGCGGTTTTTTCTCACGTTTTTCCCAACTTTTCCTCTCAAGATTTTCACATTTTCCCGCCACGTTTTCCCAAGTTTTTCGCTTCACAAGTTTCCCACCTTTTCCTCTCGCGCTTATCCCAGCTTTTCCCCTTACGTTTTCCCGCCTTTTCTCCTTCACTTTTGCCATTTCCCCTTCACGCTTTTTACTCTCCTTCTCTCAATTTTGTCTCACGTTTTCCCCCCTTTTCGCCTCATTTTCTCCCGCGCGCTTTTTTCTTCATTCCTTCTTTTCTTCTCCCCTTTCCCCTCGGAATATTCTCGATGTTTTCGAGCAGAAGCGTATTTTTGACGGAATTCCGAACACTCCGCCAGACGCGCGCGCAACTCAATCAATAACCTCAAAAAAACCCACGCGCGGCCCCGCCCTCGCCGCGCGGCCCCGCCCCCGTGCGCGCTGACGTCACGCGCCGGCGGCGCTGGCGGCGCTGGCCCCCGGCGGGCGGGAAGATGGCGGCGGGCGGCGGGGGCGGGGGCGAGGGCGGCGGCGGCCGCGGCCCTGAGGCGGCAGGTGGGGCCGGGGGGGCCGGGGCGGGGCCGGGGGTGTGTGGGGCGGGGAGGGGGGGAGGCTGTGGGGCGGGGATGGAGGGGCGCCGGGAGGTGGGGCTGAGGGGGAGATGTGGGGTGTCTGGGGGGGGGGCGTGTGGGTCTGCCGGGGGGCTGGGGTTGGGGGGGGATAGGGCGGGGATGTGGGGTGTCACGGGGCAGGGATGGGGGGTGATATAGAACAGGGATGTGGGGTGTCATGGGGTGGGGATGGGGGGTGCTGTAGGACAGGGGTGTGGGGTGGGATGGGATGAGATGGGGTGGGATGGGATGGGAGGTGATGGGAGGGGATGGGGTGGGATGGGAGGGGATGGGGTGGGATGAGATGTGAGGGGTTGTGGGGTGCTATAGGACAAGGGGGATGGGATGGGATGGGATGGGATGTGGGGGGCTGTGGGGTGCTGTAGGACAGGGGTGTGGGATGCGATGAGATGGGATAGGATGGGATGGGATAGGATGGAATGGGATGGGATAGAATGGGATGGGGGGGTTGTGGGGTGCTGTAGGACAGGGGTATGGGATGGGATGCTTGGGGGGGCTGTGGGGGGCTGTGGGGTACTGTAGGACGGGAGTGTGGGATGGGGCGAGATCGGATAGAATGGGATGGGATGGGATGGGATGGAATAGGATGGGATGGGGGGGGGTTGTGGGGTGCTGTAGGACAGGGGTATGGGATGGAATGCTGGGGGGCTGAGGGGTGCCCCGGGGTGTGGGGCAGGGGTGCTGAGGATGGTGACGGTGTCCTGGTCCCATTTCCCCCCCATGTCCCCTCACCCCATCACCCGTTTCTGGGGGGTGACCCCTGTCCCTGCAGGTCCCAGCCCTGTCTGTGCCCCCCGAGGGGAGCCCTGAGGGCCCCGCACGCCCCCCGAGATGAGCAGCAAGGACCCCCCCGAGGTCTCTGGTAAGGGGAAGGGGACGCACGGGGGGACACAGGGGACGGGGACATGCACAGGGGGGGACATTCACCGCTCCCCCCGGCAGAGAGGAGCCACCTGAAGGTTTTCCTGCCCCGGAAGCTGGTGGAGTGTTTGCCCAAATGCCCCGTCCTGCCCAAGGAGCAGCTGCGCTGGAACACCAACGAGGTGGGAGGGGAACGGGGGGACACGGAGGGGACACAGCAGGACACGGGGGGATGTGGGGACACGGACGACACACAGAAGGGGATGTGGGGACATTGGGAGGGGGCGTGGAAGGGATGTAGGTGACATACATGAGATGTGGGGACACAGGAGGGGATGTGGGGGCACAGGAAGGGGACACTGAGGGCACAGAGGGAATGGGTTGGCTGGGGACAGGGGGCACATCAGGACAGCGGGGTTAGGGATGATGAAAACTGTGACACCAGGGGTGGGACGACAGAGTGACACAGTGGGGGGGACAGGAGGTGACGTGTGACACAAACGGGACACGTCTCCCCTTCCTCCCGCCAGGAAATCGCCTCGTACCTCATCACCTTCGAGAAACACGACGAGTGGCTCTCGTGCTCCCCCAAAACCAGGTGGGGGGGCCGTGGGGTGCCCCGGGCAGTGTCCTTGGGGGGCTGGGGGGTGCCGTGGAGGGGCTGTGGGTGCCCTGGGGGGTCCCTGACCGCTGTCCAGGCCGCAGAATGGGTCGGTGATCCTGTACAACCGCAAGAAGGTGAAGTACCGCAAGGACGGGTATTGCTGGAAGAAGCGCAAGGATGGGAAGACGACACGTGAGGACCACATGAAGCTGAAGGTGCAGGGGGTGGAGGTAGGAGGAGGGGGGAGCCCCAAAACACGTCTCTCCCCCGAAAACACCCGGCACCCCGAAAAAACGTCCCCGTGCTCCCCTATAGAACAGACTCTGGTTTGGGTGTGGGGAGCAGGGAGGGAGCGGCTGGGGATGGGGGCTACACGAGGAGGGGCTTGAGGGTGTCAGGGCACCCAAAGGGGGGATCTGAGTACCCTCAAGGGAAGGTTTTGGGCTGCTGGGGACCCCCAGGGGGGTGGTTTAGGGTGTCCAGGACCCCCAGCTATGTGTTTAGGGATGTTGGGAAACCCCCCAGTTGGCGGTTTGGTGGCAATGGGGACCCCCGGGGGGGCAATTTGGAGGTGTCAGGCTCCCCCAGCTGGGCAGCCGAGGGTCTGACCCCCTTACTTGGTCATTTGGGGATGTCATTTGGATCCCAGGGGGGGATCCAAAGACTGGTTTGTGGGTCTCGTCAGGGCGGGAGGCTCCCCCAATTTGTGCTGTCCCCCCCAGTGCCTCTACGGCTGCTACGTCCACTCCTCCATCGTGCCCACCTTCCACCGCCGCTGCTACTGGCTGCTGCAGGTAAAGGGGGGGGGGCACGGGGAACCCCCCCACCGCCCCCAGGCTCCCCCAGCCCCCCCGAACCCGTCCGTGTCCCCCCCAGAACCCCGACATCGTCCTGGTTCACTACCTGAACGTGCCGGCCATGGAGGAGTGCGGCCGCCCCTGCGCCCCCCCCCTCTGCAGCCCCCCCATCTGCACCCCCCCGATCTGCGCCGCCACCGCCGACCCCCGGGAGTGGCTCAAGTGGTCCCAGGAGGAGCTGGTGGCCCAGCTGCGCCCCATGTGTGAGTGGGCTGGAGGGGGCACCCCCGAAACCTTCCCCGCGGGGTTTTACCCCCGGTCCTTGGGGTGAAACGGGGCTGTGGGAATGGGGCGGGGGGGAAAACTGGATCTTCCTGGGGGGGCCGGAGGAGGGACAGCCTAAAACGTTTTTTTTGGTGTATTTGTTGTCCATCTTTCGCTCAGCCCACAGAGTGAGGTGGGGCTGGGGACGACACCCCACAGCTCTTTTCTTGAGAGATTTTACTCCTGTTTTCCTGCAGGATGTAGTGGGGTAGCAGGGGAAACGTAGCTATTTGGGGAGGGGGCTGAATAGGGGGACACACCCCCCCATCCGCCTTCCTGAGGGGTTTTGCTCCCCTTCTCCCGCAGTCCACGGGGTGAAGTGGGGCTGCGGGAATGGGGGGGCCCCCCCCGGGCTGTCCCTGGAGCAGCTGGTGCAGCACGTCCTGGAGCGGCACCAGGCCCGGCCACCCCCCCGCACCCACGCCTGCCTCTGCGCCGGGGGGGCTGGGTGAGACCCCCAACTGCCCCCGGGCACCCCTCACCACCCCTGGGCACCCCCCACCACCCCTGGGCACCCCCTGCCACCCCTGGGCACCCCCTGCCACCCCTGGGCACCCCCCACCACCCCTGGGCACCTCTGACTGTCCCCGGGACACCACAATGCCCTCGGACCCCACTGGGACTCCCTGGGGTACCTCCAACCCTGTGGGACCCCCAACCCCCTGGGGATCCCCCCTGGGACTCCCAAACTCCCTGAGACTTCTCTGAACCACTCCTAGGGAAAACTCCTGAACCCTTCCTGGGATCCAGAACCATCCCTGAGACCCCCCCAAACCCACTGGGACCTGCTCTAACCCTCCTAGGGACCCCCTGAACCCCCTTGGGACCCTCCCAACACCTTGGGACCCCCCGAACCCTCCCTTGCACCTCCATGGGACTGCCCTGAACCCCTGGGGACACTCCCCACTTGAACCCCCCTCGGGACCCCCAAATCCCATTGGGACGCTCCCAAATTCCCCCTGAACTCCCCTTGGGACCCCCAAATTCCCCCTGGGGCCCTTCCAAACCCTCCCCGTCCCTCTCTAACGTCCCCCCTCCTTCCCCCCCCACAGGCCCCCCCGCCCACACGTGCCGCAGCACCAAGCACCGCAGCATCTCCCCAAGGGTAGCGGGGGGGGGCGGGGGGGGCGTGCCGGGGGACGCCCCCAAACCCGCCCCCTCCTCCCCCGACACCACCCAGCCCTCCCCGGGCCTGGGCGGGGGCGCGGCGGCCCCCGAGGGGCCCCGCGGTGGCCCCGCGTTCCCCCTGCCCCTGCTGGTGGTGAGCGGCCTGGGGGGGGGGCGCGGCGCCGGGGGGGCCCGAGCAGCCGCTGGGCCTGACCCCCAGCCAGCACCTGGTGACCCCCGAGGGCACCTGCCCCACGGCGCCGCCGCCCCCCGCCGCCTTCGACCCCGACTGCTTCCTCAACAGCCCCCGCCGCGGGCAGACCTACGGCTGCGAGGCCGAGGCCCCCCCCGGCGCGCCCCCCCCGCCCCCCGCCGTGCCCCCGAAACCGGGGGGGGGCCGGGAGGAGGAGGAGGAGGAGGGAAAACCGGGGGTGACCCTCCAGGACCCCCCTTGCGAGCTCAACGTGGCCCCCCCGCAGCACCCCTTCCCCCTGCCCTTCCCCGAGCTGCTGGGGGGGGACGCCGGGGTCCCCCCAAACCCGCGCGGGGACCCCCACGAGCCGCCCCCCACGCCCCACCCTCCTCCTTCCCCCCCGGCCCCCTCCACAGACCCCCCCGTGGCCATCACCGACTTCTCCCCGGAGTGGTCCTACCCCGAGGTGAGCGCTTCGAGGGGTATCACCCCCACAGTGTCCCTCCCCCCGTCGCGTCCCCGGCGACCCTCCGGTGACCCCCCCGTGTCCCCCCAGGGCGGGGTGAAGGTGCTGATCACGGGCCCGTGGGGGGACCCCGGCGCCTACTCCTGCCTCTTCGACCGCACCTCGGTCCCGGCCGCGCTGGTCCAGCCGGGCGTCCTGCGCTGCTACTGCCCCCGTGAGTGTCCCCGAGGGGGGGGGGGGACTGGCTGACACCCCCCTGGGGCTGACACACCCCCCTCCCGTGTCCCCCCGCAGCCCACGAGGCCGGCGTGGCCGCCCTGCGCGTGGCCTGTCCCCCCCGGCTGCTCACGGCCGCCGCCCCCTTCGAGTACCGGGCTCGGGGGGCCGTGAGGGGCCCCCCCGGGACACAGATGGACTGGCTGGCGCTGGATGGTGAGTGGGGACCCCCGAGAGGCACCCCCAGGATGGGGGGGGGGGGGGGCCC